ATTTTCGAGAATATTTTGTAAACAAAAAAATAAATTCCTATTGTTAGAGTACAAAAGAAGAATGATGTTGGTATGATATTTATAAATTATGACATAAAGAGATCTTTTCTCAGTATCATGATGCTTTTAATGATCAACACCGAGCACAATTTTAGGCTCCTTTTTAAGGAAGAAATTTATGATGCGCAACACCCACAGTCTTGTGATTCAACCATTTACGGAATACCAAAATGCTTCTCTGACGACTTACAGTCGAGCAATTAATCTTCTCTTTACCCAAGATTACAGTTCCGACAAAGGCCATTTCCTTTTGTCAGGTTCAGTGAAAAATGTCAACGTCTCCACATAAAAGGAGAGCTGGGTATTCTAAATTTTTAAAACTTTTCTCTACTTTTAAAAAGCGCGCGCAATGCGGGAGGGGAAAAAAAACTTTTTTAAATTGCTGCTTTGAGAAACGCTGAAAATTTCCTATCAATTCAAAAGTAATCGTTTTCATCAAATTTTTTTTCTTTCATTCTATATAAGTGATAAATATATATCCATTAGACTTGTCCCTTTTTTTATTGAGAATATTTATCAATTTTTCGAGTTTTTTTTGAAAGATTTCGCGCATTGTTAGCGAGAAAAAAGAAATCGAAAGAAATACGAAAATTGATAACGTTGAATTTTTATTAATATTTATTGTAAATTAATTATTATAATAATTTAATATTATTTTTCTAATAATCATTATTATTGAAGCGACAATATTACTAAATTTTTGGTTTAACATAAAAATTATTCAAATTAAATTATTAAATTTTCAACTTCAGATTTATTGAATTTTAAAAAAAGCGTTTGAATGGTGCCAAAATATTACTTGTTAAAAATCTATATTTGTTTAAAATTTACCAAAAAAAAATTTTTAAAAATGAAAAATGAAAATTATTTGAATAAAAAAAATAATTACAGGATTTCCACGCAACCTGGAAACCTGGAAAAGTCAGGGAATTTTGATCGGAATCCTGGAAAATTATTGTTTTCTAAAGTTATTGTGCTTATTCTTGAAATCTAATTTTACTTAAATATTTCAAAATTAATTGAATTTTAAAAGAGTTGCGTTTACAATTTTCATAAATAGATAAACTTTAAAAAGTTTTAATTCGAAATTTTAGAAAATTTCAATTTTGAATAAATGAATTAAATAATAAAAATTTTACAGGAATTCTATTATTTACAAATTTTTTAAAAATTTCTTCACAATAATTCAATTATTTTCATAAAGAATAACATTTTTTTACCAGGAATTCAATTATTTTTATAAATAATAAAATTCCATTCAGGTTTTCAATTATTTTCATAAATAATAAAACTCATCGCAGAATTTAAATTATTTTGAATCACAATTTTAATGAAATTTCTTAAAAAATGCAATTATCCTTAATAATTTTATTAAAATTCATCAAAGAAATTCAATTATTTTAAAAAGCCTTTCTATAATTTATTTATTAGCATTTAATTATTATTGTCAATACATTTTTAATTTTTAATTTAATTCAATTATTTTAAAAAGAAATATATTATTAAAATTCGTCTTAAGAATTCAATTATTTTTAAAAGTAATAAAATTCATCAAAGACATTCAATTATAGTCAAAAGTTTAAAAAAATTCTCGTAAAAATTTTAATTATCTTTATAAATAATATAATTCTTTTTCAAAGTTCAATTATTTTCAAAAATTTTAATAAAATTCTTTGGCAAAATTTCAATTATTTTCAAAAACTTTTCTCAATTCAATCAAATTTTTTACAGAGATTCAATTATTTATTAAAATTTGTCAAAAGAATTTTAATTATTTAAAAATTTGTTGATAAAATTCTTTATTAGAATTTGATTTTGAGAAACATTCGATTATTCAGTAAATTATTTATTTTTGTGTTTAAATAATTGAATTTTTGTAAAATTTTCTAATAAAAATTGATTTCAATATGCATTTCAGTTAAAATTTAAAAAGAATAATTGAACATTAAACTCTCTAAATTTGAATTAGTAAAAATGGTTTCTATTTTGAATTAGTGATTGACTTTTTGCTGTAGAATATGCAGATTTTACTAATAAATAGTCGTTTCTACTAATTTAGCAGTTAATTTATAATTCAATTTATTTAATTTTAGAAATAATATTGAATTTTGAAAAGCTTTCAAATTATAATCTTTGAAATTTTGAATTTTTTATACTTTTAACTGAAAATTTTGTAAATTTAATTCTTTTAAAAAAGTTTAATGGAACTTTTGAAATTATTTGAAGTTTTTATTTTCTAATATATATTTGATTGAAAAATTTCCGAATAATCGATGAAATTTTGTAAAATTGAATTGTAAACAAAAGAATTTGAAAGTTTTCAAAGAAATTTTTCAAAAATTATTAAAAATGAATGAATAATTAATTTAAAGAAGAATTTTAGTTAAAAATAATTGAATTGAAATGATAAAAATAATTTTGATGAAGTTACAGTAACAATATTCTTATAATATAAAATAATTATTTTTTCACTCGGTCATCTTTGAATTATTATAAAACATGAAGATATCGATTGCTCCGAGTCGAAGACTCGGAGTGATCGATTTCCTCATGTTTTATAACAATTTTTTTTAAATTGTTTAATTTCAAATAGGTAATAATAATCATTAAATATTTATTTACAAAAGAAGTAATGGAATATTTTTCTGAGTAATAATTTTTAAACTGAATCAAAATATTCTTTAGAGTGTTTAGAGTGAAGGAAAAGTCTGAATTTTGTCTGGAATTCAAGGGAAAGTCAGGGAAAAACAAAATTAAATTTTTGTTGTCAACAAATGTAGTTTTAAAAACCTGGAAAAGTTAAGTTTTTTAACCTGGAAAACCTGGTAAAGTCAGGGAATTTGAAATGAGCAAAAGCGTGGCAACCCTGAATTAAAAATAATTATTATTATACAAATTATTGAAAGAATTATTATTTGAGTCAAAATTGTTTGAATAATAATTAATTTAATATAAAATGTTTCAATTAAAATATTCACTATTAATATTTTATTAATATTAATAAAAATAGAATTATATTTGTAAATATTATTTGAATAAAAATTATTTAAATAAAAATTATTATTATAAAAAATATAAAAATAATTATTATGAGAAATATTTTAAGTAAAAATATTAAAATAAAAATATTTAATTAAAAATTATTCGATTAAACATTATTGGATGAAAAATCAATTTTTTTTCACTGACAATAAAAGCTCATAAAAGAAAATATTTGGGAATTAAATCAAAGAGATTTTAGGTCATACATGTACAGAATCGTTTTAATAATAAATATAAAAGGAAACAGACGACTTTAATATTGGATATAGTTGATTAATTGGAAAATAATAATTAACAAAGTTTTCGGGAAATTACAAGAAAGTTGAGAAAGAGAGAAACAGAGAGAGAGAGAAAGAGAGAGGGAGAGAAAGAGAATGAGAGAGATATGGTCGTAATTTTCGTTTACGTGTTTCTCTGAAGAAAAGTTTTTTGAGTTTATGGTGAGCTGTTTGTTTAATTTGTAGGTTTTATCCGACAAACGAAAGGCGGATTTCTCATCGCAATAAATTGGTACAATCACAGACTTGGTATATTTAGTATAGCAATTCAAAGAGACGAGTATTTTTAATTTCTAAAAATACTTTTTATTTAATGCCTGACAATATTATAATTTAATCACAATATTAATTAAATTATTACAATATTAAATTGAATCAAAATATTTATTTATAATGACAATATTAATTTAATTAATTAAATCTGAATATTTCAAGAATTTAATTACAATTTTTCATCTGTCCGATTTGTTTTTCAATTGTAAATATTTTTTACATATTTTTTTAATTGTAAACTCGAAGAAAAGTAAACGTCGAACATTATTATTATTATTATTATTAATATTTTATAATTTAATACACTAATTATTATCAACTAAAATCAATGTATTATTTGATTAAAGATTAAGTTTCATTTAAATAAATAAAATAAAAATAAAATTCAAATATGTCTGTAATAATAAATTCTTTAAAAGAATTCATAAGAGTCGTAAATTTATTAGCAAAGTTTAAAATTTCATTGTCACTCACGGATGTAATTTCAGTTTATGCTAATACACTGTATATATGTATATTGTTTATGTCAGATATTTCAATTATTTGAAATTAATTAGGAATTGATTGAATCGATTACATTGTTCGGATATAAAGGAAATAACGATAATTATATAGAAATATGCCAAATATATAGATATTGAAGTGATACGTGAAAATTCATGTTTACATTAAAAATTAGAGTGTCATACATTAAACTGCTAATATTATTTTCAATATATGTAATTGCGTTAACATTTGTCCTTTATTGAGTCATTTCTATTTATTTTAAAATAATTACAGAATAATTAAAGTAATGTAATTAATTAATATAATTATTATGTAATTATATATAATATCTCATTTATTGAAAGTTAAAACATTTATTAAAAAATAAAATTATTATGAAAATTATGAAAATTATTAATAGAAAACTGTAAAAATGATTTTTAATTTTTTATAATTAAAAAAATTATATTTTTTAAAAAATTCTTTTTAAAAATAGTTTTTTTAATTATTTAAGTAGGTATAATTTTATAAATAAATTATTATTTTTTCCAGAATTGTTTGTGAAATTCTATCTTTATATGCTAGATATATTTTTCTCAAATGCATGCTTTTTGATGTATGTTAAAAACTTTTTTTTTATTTTTATTTTCCGGTACATATATTAGATAAAAACTTTTTTTTTGCAAAAAAAAAAAATATTAATGAACAATTTTGTGTAACTTTGACTATCAATATATTCTCGGTGTATTCGTGTGTATATAACTGACACAAAGTGTAATTTAGTTGTTAGGAAAATATATTTCGTGTTTTTTGCGGGAAGATAAAATTTATATAAATAAAAAAACGAAAACTCTCGTTTACCTTGTAATGACCTAAATTTCGAATTGTACAAGATAAAACTGCTTTTTTGCCAATGGCAGCCGTAACGTTCGTAATGGACACAACAAAACTCGGAAAATCTGAAACAGAAATTACAAAAATATTTTTTTTAGTTTATTTATAAACATTGAGTGCAGTGAAAATTTTAAATATAGACAATATTTATTTTTAGTTTCGATATTTTACATTGTTATTTTATTATTGCTTTTTATTTAATTTTTTTCATTTCTACTGTAATATAATTTTTTTGTGTACTTAATATTTAATAATGATATAATTAATAATATATTATTACATTTTTTCGTAATTTTCGTAATAATTTAGAATAGTATTTTCAAAAAAAATTTCGAAAATATCAATTATTTAACAAAATTTTTATACGATTCTTCATAATAATTCAATTCACTGAAATAAAATGTTCTAAATTAGAGCTGATTTTCGGTATTAAAATAGAACCAAATGACGATTTAGTACCCAAAATTGGTACTAAATTAGTACCTTTCTTTTTACAGTGTTACTTTCCCTAATAATAACACGTTTCATGGAAATTCCATTTTTTGAAAAAATTTTTGATAAAATTCTAAACAAGAATTCAACTATTTTCATAAATAATAAAACTCATCGAAGAATTTCAATTATTTTAAATACTATTTTAAATTAATTATTCAAAAAATTCAATTATTTTCACAAATTAAGTTTTCCACATGAATTCAATTACTTAAAATAAAATTTTCATTACGTTTATTATATTTCAAAAAAAAAAAATTAATTTTTAAAACAATGTTTATAAAATTCTTATGAAGAATTCAATTATTTTCAAAAATAACCAAATTTTTCACAGAAATTCAAATCTTTTTAAACATTTTAACAAAAATTTTCGCAATAATAAATTATTTTCATAAATAATAAAATTCTTCTCAGGAATTTAATTATTTTTGAAAATGTTAAAAAAATTCTTAGCAACTTTTAAATTATTTTCGTAAATAATAAAATTCATCGCAGGATAACAATTTTATTGTATAGTTTATTATTTATTTATTATGTATTTATCAATTATTTATTTACAATTCTACAGTAATTGATCAAAAATTCAATTGCTCGAAAAAATCAATTATTTAAAAAAATATTTTTTTAAAATTGTTTGAAAGAATTCAATTATTTACAAAAATATTAGAATTTTTCACAAGAATTCAATTATTTTCAAATATTTTATGAAATTGTTCGAAAAAAATCAATTATTAATTATTATAAATACAATTTTAATTAAATTCTTTTGAAATAATTCAATTTTTTTTAGATTTTAATAAAATTCTTCCCAAGAATTCAATTATTTACATAAATAATTTTTCGAAACATAAATAACAAAACTATTCCTGAAAATTCAATTATTTTGAGGCATTTTAATAAAATTTTTTGCAAAATTCAATTATTTTCATAAATAACAATATTCATTACAAGAATTCAATTATTTTTAAAAGTAATAAGTTTCTTCTTGAAAATTAAATTATTTTTAAAAATTCTAATAAAATCGTTCGCAAGAATTTTAATTGAATTTATTTGTTAAATTTAATTATTTTTAAAAACTTTTTGCAATTCAATGATTTTTAAAATCTACTATTTTCATAAAATTTCCAAACAGAATTCAATTATTTAAAATTTTTTTGTAAAAATCTTCGTAAGCATTCAATTATTTTTATGAATAATTAAAATTTCTCAGGAATTCAATTATTTGAATTAAAATTTGCATAAAATTAGTCGAGAGAAATCAATTATTTAAAAATTTTAATAAAATTCGTTGCAAGAATTCAATTTATTAGCAGGATAAGAGAGAAGTAAATATTTTCGATGAAAATTAGGGAAAAGTCAAGAAAATAAAATATAGAATGGAATTTTTGTCAGTTTCTACTTTTTTAAACTTAATTATCGAGTGCAAAGACTTATTAAAAAATAAATTTTTTATAATTTTAAACGAAAGTATATTTTATTCCCTTTATATTCCCGCTTGGTTCATTTAAATCGGTTCATTTATTTAGGAGAAATAACATTTTGTTTAAAAAGTTGCAAGAAAATTCATTTTGCAATAATTTTTTATAAAAAAAAAATTTTCTATGTTCTTTGGTGGACACATTCCTAAGGCCAAACAGAAATGTTTTTTCAACATTTCGTTAAAAAAAAAATAATTTTTATTTTTCGTGAAAATTTCACGAATTCTGAACCAATTATGAAATTTGAAAAATTATTTTTTATAACTACATAACAATCTGGAAAATTTTACTCGCCTTTAGTTATGCTGGTTATGTTATTAATTTATTATAATATAAATTTATAATTAAATAAATAATTGTAATATAAAGTTATAATTAAATAAATTATTATAATATAAATTTATAATTATAATATAATATTATTTAATTATAATATTTAATTCAACAATAATTCATATAATTTTTGTAATCTATTTTAGTATAATTTTCATTATTTACTATTTACCATTTACGTTTATCTATATACCACACTTTTTCATTATACAGTGTTGAAAATGGTAGTGATTTTTCAAAAGGGAAATGCTTCTCTCCCACTTGTCTGATAATGAATTGTCCCGTAAAAAAAAGAGAAGAAAAATTATATAAAAAATTACAACATTCCCTCAACTGCTGCGCTGATTTGACGATTTCCTCATCTTTCAAGTTTTTTTTTATTCACGTTTTTCACGCTCATGGGGGGAAAAGAAACATGAAAAAGAAAATTAGGAGTGTTAGAAGTAAGCCCCCTATCGCGATAAGGTTGTAAAGAAAAAATTGCATATATCTATATCTATATATCGAGGTACATATAATATAGTTAGTGTGTGCGGTTGGTATTCGGAGATACGTCAAAACTACTTATGCGTTGATCTATTCTGAAGCATGTGCGAGAAGAAAAGTCCCACTGTGGGGGATTATGATAAGATATTCACACTGCTAGAAACAGGAAAGGAGAGAAAGAGAAAAAGAGAGAGAGTGAGAGAGAGAGAGAGTGAGTGGAATTTTCAGCTTTCCGGGTACCTTCTAGGAGGTAATATAAGGAAACGCCGAAAGAAAATAGCTGCTTGATCTTGACTTAAAGGGGATAAGGATAGGGGTAGGGGGTGGAAGAAGGGGTTGTGGAGGAGACGAAAAAAGGGGTTTGAGAAGTGAAAAAGGAGTGATGTGATATAGAGGAAGAGATATAGATAGGCGAGAGAGCAAGAAATGTAAACGGAGTTCAAGATGAACTAAAGGGAGAAAGGAAAATTGGAAAGGAAACGAGAAGATGTGAAGGGGGGAGGGGGAGGAAGGACCATCCGCGTAATACAAACTCCCTGCCTATATACCGATATCCCCTAGTAAAGCACTTTTATTTTATGACCAAATTATTCCTCTGCGAAATAATTCCATCTTTGCCAAAATAGTCTCTCTCTCTCTCTCTCTCTCTCTCTCTCTCTCTCTCTCTCTCTCTCTCTATATATATATATATATGTAGGTATATGTATATATATAAAAATATATATACAAAAAAAATTTATATTTATACTATATTTATATATATATACAGAATATAACCCTATACGTATGTATAAGCATAAAACCAGATTGTATTCTAAAAATACAAATGAGAATTTCCTCTCTTTTTTGTGGAATATAATAGAATGAAATTTTCCTATTTTTACTAAATTTTCAAGCCGTTCGTAAATTTTACTATACACAGAATGTAGTACTTTCAATATGTATGTGTAGATTGGAGAAATCTCCCATTTTCCACACCAAGAAAAAATACTTTTAATCAAATAGAAATGTAATTTTTTTTATAATTTTGTTTCTTTAAGTAAATCCATAAGCTTTTAATCCCAATAAAATGAAACAATTCATAATTAACTATATTAATTTAAATGTTCTTTCATTCTTTCATTCACTTTTTCTGTCCCTCACACTCTGAAGTTGTCTTTTGTTTATACTTTTGTTTTTTGTTAACTTTAGATAGAAAATAGAAATCATCAGTATTTTTTTTACTTCTTTTCATTAAAAGACTAAAATTTTGTTAAATAATATGTTTTGTGAATTTGAAATTATCTTTGTTCTCTACTTCTGAAAAAAAATTAGAAAATTATTAAACAACTGTGATTAAGAAATAGAAAATTTATTTATTTTCCATTATTTTCTTTTTGAATCACAATTTTTTTAAGAAAATTATTATTTTGTTTTAGAAAAAGAAGAGAAATATTTGCACAATTTATATTTTAATCTAATCTTTGGAACAGGATTTTCGACAGGAATTAAGACATTTAAAAATTCAAAATTCAAACCTTTTTTAAATTAAACAACTTATAAAAGTATTGTTTATAAAACATGAAGATATCAATTGCTCCGAGTCGAAGACTCGGAGTGATCGATTTCTTCATGTTTTCTAATAAATTAAAGATGACCGAGAGATAAAATCATTATTTTACATTATAAGAATATTGTTACTGTAACTTCATCAAAATTATTTTCATCATTTTAATTAAATTATTATTTTCTAGAATTAAAAATTTTTTTTTATGAAAATAATAATTGAATTCCTTAAAAAATTTTATTATTTATGAAAATAATTGAATTCATTGTGAAATTTTAATTATTTTATGAATATAATTAAATGTTTGCGCAGAATTTCAATAAAATTTTTTATAATTGAATTCTTTTGAAAAATTTTAGTAGATATTATAAAAATCATTGAATTGAGGAAATTTTTTGAAATTAATTAAAATTTTTGCCGAGAATTTTTTCAAATTTTTTCAAAATAATTGAATTGATTCGAAGAATTTTATCAAACTTTTTTAAAATAATTGAATTTTTGCAACGAATTTTATTAAAATTTTTAAAAATAATTGAATTCTTATGAAGAACTTTTATTAATTGTTTTGTTAAATAATTGAATTATTGCGAAAAAATTTATAAAACATTTGCAAATGATTGAATTCTTGCAAAGAATTTTATCAAAAAATTTGATAATAATTGAATTTCTTCGAAGAATTTTATTGTTTATGAAAACAAGTGAATTATTGCGAAAAAAATTGCAAATCATTGAAGTTTTTCAAAGAATTTTATCAAAAAATTTGATACTAATTGAATTTCTTCGAAGAATTTTATTGTTTATGAAAATAATTGAATTAAGGAAGAATTTTATTAAAATTTTACATAATCTTAATTAAATTCGTTTGAAGAATTTCTTTGAGTTTCTTTAAAATAATGGACTTTCTTTAATCATTTTAATTACAAGTTTTCAAAGAAATTGAATTCTATATGAATAATTTCTTTCAAGTTTTTATAATAATCCTCTTTCTTAATAATTGAAATTAAGCAATTAATTCTTGAATTTTATTAACAATTTTTGGAAAATAATTGAATTTTTTTGAAAAATTTCTTTAATTTATTGAATACAATCGAATTTTTCAATAATTGTATTGAAAATAATTGAATACCTGAGAAGAATTTTATTATTTATGAAAAATACTTTAATTTTTGCGATGAATTTTAATAATATATTTCTTTTTAAATAATTGAATTCTTTTGTGAATTTTTATTGAAATAGTAGATATTAAAAAAAATTGAATTTTGATATTATTGAAATTAATTTAACTCTACGAAGAATTTAATTCAAATTATTTTGAAAAAAAATCGAATTGTTAAAAATTATTTCATTAAAATCTTTGACAATTAATTTTAATAAAAATTTTAAGAATAATTACATTTTTCGAGAAATTCCATTAACATTGTACCAAAAATAATTGAAATTCTGCGATGATTTTTATTATTTATGAAAATAATTGAAAACCTACATACCTAAAGAATTTTATTATTTATGAAAATAATTGAATTCCTGGTTAAAAAAATGTTATTCTTCATGAAAATAATTGAATTATTGCGAAGAAATTTATAAAAAATTTGTAAATAATAGAATTCCTCTGAAATTTTTATTATTTAATTAATTCAATTAAAATTGTCATTTTCTAAAATTTCAAATTAAAATTTTTTTTAAATAATTGAATTCGTTTTGGGAAATATTTTATTAAAATCGTGGATATTGAATAAAAAAATTTAAAAAAATTTTTTAAAAAATTTAGAGTAAACTTATTACCAGGATTTAATTTTAAAAAAAAAAATTTTACGCGCCTATAGTTTTGCTAGTTATAAAATAAAATTATAAACATTTTGTCCGACTAAAATTGCTCTATAAACTACTACTTCGAATTAAATAGAATTAAAAATTCTATTTTTTTATTAACATTTTCACTTTCATTGTTTTATGTAAATAAAATTGAGATCTAGTTGAATAAGGAATTTCTCGATAGATCTCATTTTAGAAGTCAGTAGTTTAAGCACGTTTTAGTCAGACAAAACTTTCTTTACTTCTTTTCCAATTGCAAATCAGTGGTTCAAATCGGTTTTAGTCAGACGAAAGTTTTTAAATAATTGTTATTAAAATATCAGTAATTAATGTGAATTTTTTGAAAATTGTCACATTAAACTTTCTTACATGATATTTGTTTAAAAATATATTTTTGTCTGACATAAATTTACTGAAACTACTGATATTCAAATCGTATTTCCTTTAAATTCCTATCTAGAAAAAAGTTTGTAATCTTAAATAAAAATTTAATTTAAATTATTCTAATTATTAATACCTTTTTTCATTCTATTCTTAAATATTACTTTTTTCAAAAATAAATTTAGAGTAGAATTTCAATACTTTTTGCTTTGCGTGCAAAATATATTTATATTTTTTTTATATATTTATTTTATGCAATATACGTTTCACTGGTTGCGCGCAAAATCTAGAAATATTAGAGAAAAAATCTTAAATTTACAGAGGATTATCTTTGAATCTTTACCTCTTAATTTAAGACCTAGAAGCTAAAAAAAAGTAAATTTAACATCCGCAGACTATTCTTTAACTAAAATTATCTCTTATTTTTATAGAAAGAAGAAAATAATTTTTTACACTTGTATGTAATGCTTAATATTTTTTTAATCATTTATTTAGTACATTTTCTTATTTGTAAAAATAGTTTAACGAATGAAAAAATAGAAAATGTTTCTTTAGAAATAAAAAAAAAACTCTTTTCTCGAGTTTAATTAAAATTTTTTTTCTCTTTTTTGTACTCTCTCAAATCTATATACACAAGTGTGTGTGTGTGTGTTGGATAAAAAAAATTTAACTGTAAATGTATTTTCTATTCAAATCTTGATCAGCGTATTTATATGAAAATTCGATTTGATTCAATCAAAGGAAAGGACTTTTGACACTTTCAATCATGATTGAATGTTTGATATCCCGTGTAGAAATTTCGCTGGGGCCCTGATCAGGGCCGGATAGGGCCGACCTATTAGGGAATGAAACGCCGCGCCCGATGTGGCCCTGATCAGGAAATCCACATTTTCTTGTCGCCCCGATCTGGCCCTGACCGGGCGCGGCGTTTCATTCCTTACTATGGCCCTAGTAGGGCAATTTCTACACGGGATAAAGTGAAATTTACAGGTTTTAAGTACTCAATATTGGGAAAATATATTATTTTTTTTATTTATTTATTTACTTCTGCTATTTTTCGTTGCTTATTCACTTTTTAATGCTGTGAAAATTTTTTTCAAATTTTTATTTTTTACCCGTTAATTGAGTGAGTAAATCACAATCTCGATGACAATAAATCCACTTTGTCGATAATTGAATAAAAAAAAAAAAATACAATTTATTTTCATTGAAGAGAAATTAATTGATATTAGAATGAATGCTGGGCAATGATCTTTTGTTGCTTTGTGTTCTAACTTTTTCCTTGCATTTTCAAAATTTTTCAATTTACCTATTCAAATGAATAAAAATTTGTTTATTTATTTTATTTTTAATTTATTTTTATGTATTTAATTTATTTTTTATTTATTTTAATTATCAATTCATTTACTTGCTATATTTTTTGGTAAATATACTTTACTCATGCATTTATTAAAATGTATTAATTTACTTTATTTTATTCATTTCTGTTTATTTTTTTCTGAAAATTATTCGGAGAATTTTGCAAAATTTTCTAAAAGAGATGTCTGACTAAAGTTGAATTGAACTACTGATTTCGAATGAAATATAATTGAGAAATTTACTGTCTGACTAAAATCGACCAGAACTACTGATTTTCTAGTTAAAATTAAAAATTGTTTGTAAGAAGGAATGTCTGACTAAAATTAACTGTGACTACTAAGTTTTTAATAGTAATTTTTTTTTAAAACTTTTGTCTGACTAAAATTGACTTTAACTACTAATTATTAAATATTAAGTATTTAAAAATCGTTCTTCTGAGTAAAATGTGTGTATTTCTTTTTTTTCAGTGTATCCAGTTATTATGGTTAGAAATTTTTCTGGAAGGAGATTTGGTCCACGAGTAAAGGCGTTAAAGGTAGGAAATTTTTTGATATTAATTTAATTAAATTCCACTCACATTGTTTATTTTTTTTAACATTAATTATTTAATTACAGTCAATTTTTAACTATATTTAATTATTCAACTATAATTAATTATAATTAATCATTTAAAGAATTCTCGTTTACTTTACAAATTCCTGTTTTTTTTTGTCACAAAACTGAGAATTTTTCACCAAAAAAAAAAAAAAGTTGCTCATTTTTTAATTCATTAAGTGAGTAAAATTGCCTCATTATCAATTTAAAACGATTAGTTAACGATGTGGACATTAAATACAAAATAGTTAGATCGTTTGTGTTAAATTTTGGATAAGCTAAGTAAGGAAAGTCGGTAGTTTGTGCGGTTTGTTCAATTAATCACTGTCACCGATGGTGAAATGGCATTTTCCTTTTGCTTTAACTTTATAACTATCGAGAGCACCGAGTTCAACCTTATATCCTGAATCCATTTTCTATTTATCTATTATACGATAGCAGTTAAATCTCCTTTAAATTTTCCTTATTCTAACCACAAATAAAAAGTAAATGAAAAAGATTTCTTTGGATGTATTAACATTTATGAAAATCCCTTTCTCGTTTCTTTTTTTTTCTTTTTTTTTCTTTTTTTTTTGATTTTCTTTAGAAAGTTTCGTGAATTTTAAAATCTAATAAATTTACAATTTAAATATACAGATTTCAATAAATTTACATCTTAATTCAATTATTTCTAAAGAAATTACAATGAATTTAAATTTTATTTGGTTTCAAATCTTTTGTAAACACTTTCCAATATATAAGGAGAACAATCCTGAATGTAAGTGGATTTATTTTAAAACGTTACATAAAAATTAAATTTAAACTAAAAGCGTCTGTTTCTAAATTTTTGATTTTTTCTGTCTTTTTTTCATTGTTAGACAATTTTTTTTAACAATTGTACTTTTATTTTTGTAAATTAATGATTAAGGAAGTCAGTAGTTAAAGTCAATTCTGGTCATACAATTTTCAAAATAACTTTGTTAGCCATAAATAGCAAATAATTTTTATTTAAATTAGTAGTTTAAGTAGTTTTTAGTCAGACGTCAGTTCAAGTCAATTTTAGTCCAAAAATATTTTTTTTTAATTTTAGCCAGACATCCCTTCTGAATTAATTTTTTTTTAAATCAGTACTTTAGGTCGATATTGGCCGAAAACTTTTTCTAAATTTATTTCAATTCAATATCAGTAGTTTAAGTTAATTAAATTTTAATTTTCGTCAGACTTAATAAGTGGTCCAAAATTGTTTCAGTCTAAGAAAATATTTCGTCAAAACTTTTTTCAACTCGAAAGTTAGTAGTTTAGGTCGATTTTAGTCGGACACTCCATTTTTACATTCTTTTTAATTGGACATCAGTAGTTAAAATAAATTTTAGTCAGCCAAAAGATTTTAAACTTTTAATATTAAGAAATTAAAAGTTATAGTCAATTTTAGTAATACATGCGTTATTACAAACACTTTTGTGTAGAAAATTAGTAGTTCAAGATGATTTTAGTCGGACACTTATTTTTCTAAGTTATTCTGCTCTGAAAAATTTTTTGTATCAAAACATAAATATTTTAAGTTGATATTAATAATAAAATAGTAGCTAATTTGGTTTTAGTCAGCAAAATCTTTTTTAATTATTGTTATTTAAAAACCAGTAGTCACTGTCAATTTTAGTCAGACATCTCTTCTTACAAACAACTTTTAACTCTAAAATTAGTAGTTCAGTTCGATTTTAGTCAGACACTTTATTTTTCAATTCTATTTAATTCGAAATTAATATAGTTAAATAAAGTCAATTTTAGTCAGCAAAAATTAGTAGCTTAGGTCGATTTTAGTTGGACGCTCCTTTTTCTAAATTATTTTTATTTCGAAAACAGTAGTTCAAATCGACTTTAGTCAGACAAAAGTTTTTTAATTATTGTTATTAAAAAAATCAGTAATTACATTCAATTTTAGTCAGACATCAGTTCTACTGAACTTTTTTTAAAACTTCAAAATTAGTAGTTCAAGTCGATTCTAGTCAGACACTCCATTTTTCAGTTCTATTTAATTCGAAATCAGTAGTTCGAGCAGATTTTAGTCAGACGTTTTTAAATTCTTTGACCTTCAATTCAGTTGTTCGAATTACTTTTGTCGGACAACACTTATTTTTTTTTTAAATCAGTAGAACACGTTGATTTTAGTCAGACGTCTTTCCACATTTTTTTTTACTAAAAAATTTTACCAGTTAAAGTCAATTTAAGTTGAATATTCTTTTTTCAAAATTTTTTAATACTAAAAGCTTTTTTAGTAAAATGATAAAAATATTTTTAGTTGATTACAATAATTGATAATCGTATTATATAGATACATATTTGGGTATATATATATAAAGAGAGAGAAAGCGAGAGAGGGAGGAGAGAGAGAGATAGAGAAATATGCAGAAATATATACATAGACGTATATATTGTAAATGACAAATTTCAACTGAAATTTGAAGCATTTAATACCAGACAGTTATGAACCACAAGAGACATTCTGACAAGCCTTTGACTCGCTAAGGTTGTTCCATTAAATGTACTCGGAGAGAGCACATCCTGACAATTACGTACTTGCTCGCTCCAGTTGTCATCCCATGAATCTGTATCGCTTGTTAGACTCGTTGCTCGTTTAAAATAAAAAAAAAAAACGAAAAAAAAATAAAAATACAGAACGCCTCATTCCTATTTTCATATACTTTTGAATTTAAATTTTCCACCAGCAAGTTGCTATTTAACCAGGCATTTATATTGTCAACCACTACTTAATTCATATATAAGCATTTTACACTTGTTCTCGCGTATATAATTTCTTTAGAATATATTTTCTATATGGTTTATCTCTAAAGAGGGAAATTTCTCTTGTATTATATTATTAAATTTCATACGCGATGTGTAAATTTTTTAATTTCTTTTTTTTTCTATTTTTTTAAATATTACGTTTACGCTTGAAATAATAAATTTTTAAAATGGAACATTGTAAAATGTTCCTTTTCAGAGGTTTCATTATTTGATTTCTATAATACATTGTAAAAAAAAGGTTATATAAATAGGTAAAGTTATACATTATTTAAAAATCTAAAAATAGAAAAGAAAAGTGAGAGGAATGTAATAGATATTTAAAAAATATATGTATTTCAATTATGAACTTTCTTACTTCTTGATTATTACTTATGAGACGAGGTATATTTAAATATTAAAATTGATTCAATACATCAATATTTATCGAATTTGAATTACAATTATAAACTTTATTATCACTTCCTTACTAATAAGATAAGGTACATTTAAATATAAAAATCAATCCAAAAATTGATTGATTTAATAATTTTTTGTGTTAATTTAAGCTGCAACTCTTTTTTAACACATCTTTGTTTCCCGTGTACTTTATAAAGCAACTTATAAATAAAATTTTATGATAAAATTTATAAATAAAATTTTATAATGAAATTAAAAAATGAAATTTTATAATGTTTATATATAAAATTTTATAAGTGAATTTATACTGAGCTCTCGATATACAATCAAATTATTGAGCAATATTAAATTTGTACCAAGTTAATAAGGTCGTCAAATATAAAGTAGTGTATGAAAAGAATTTTAAAATTAAAACAAAAGAATTGATTTCAATATTTATTAAAGTTAGGGCAAAATTTATTAAGAATTTAATTATATAAATAGACATATGCCAGTAACAAAATGTTCCGTATGCAATTATTCACTTCGGAGAATATTATTTTGAAATGGAATATTTAAATTATAAATAAACAACTGCTCTTTTCCACTAAAAAAATTAATTAAAAACATTTTTTTCATAGCATCATCCAAATTGACCTAAATTACTAAAATCGACTTGAACTACTAATATTGAATTAAAATAAATTCAAAAAGAAGTTTTTGACTAACATCGACCTGAACTACTGATTTTGAAAGAAAATTCTTTTAGAAATAAGTGTCTGACTAAAATCGAGTTGAACTACTGATTTTCAATTAAATGGAATTAAAAAAGGAGTGCTCGACTAAAATCGACCTGAACTACTAATTTTTGAGTTAAACATATTTTTGAAGAAGGGATGTCTGACTTAAAATTGACCATAACTACTGATTTTTTAATTACAAAAATTAAAAAACTTTAATCTGACTAAAACCAAATTCAACTACCAATTTTGTGTTTTACTAAAAAAATTTCAAACAAAGAGAATTAAGAAAAATAAATGTTTGACTAAAATTGATTTGAACTACTGATTTCGAATTAAAGAGAACTTTGAAAAAGGACTGTCTGACTAAAATCGACATGAACTACTAATTTTTCAGTTAAAACTGATTATTAAATAATAAATACCAAAAAAATTAAGAAAAATAAATGCTTGATTAAAATTTTAGAGTTAAAAATAGTTTGGAAGAAGGGGTGTCTGACTTAAAATTGACAATAACTACTGATTTTCCAATTACAAAAATTTAAAAACTTTAGTCTGACTAAAACCAAATTCAACTACTAATTTATTATTAAAATCAACTGAATAAATTTATCTGTTATACTAAAAAATTTTCAAACAAAAAGAATTGAGAAAAATAAATGTTTGACTAAAATCGACTTGAACTACTGATTTCGAATTAAAAAAGAACTTAGAAAAAGGAGTGCCCGACTAAAATTGACCTAATCTACTAATTTTCTAGTTAAAAAAAAGTTTAGAAGAACTGATGTTTTGACTAAAATTGACTGTAAATACTAATTTTTTAATACACAGAAAAAATTTTTACCTGGAACAGCTATAAGTTTCTCTAAAATAGCGAATGTCTTAACTGAAACAACTACAAAATTTGGCTAATCTAGTGAAAATTGTACCTGTTCCAGATGAATATTTTTTTCCGTGTAATAAATTTTTTTTTTTAATTGTCTGACTAAAATTGACTTTAACTTCTAATTTAGGAATAAATAGAATTGAGAAATAGAGTGAA